TATATATATATATATATATATATATTATGATCAAATATCTGTTTATTTTAGAAAACTATTCTTGTTGAAAGAGTTAGAATATAGCTGTGAATTAAATAAAGTATTTTGATGAAATTTAATTAATAAATTAGAGTATCGTTGAAAATTAATATTTCTGTAACTGGAAAATATTTTAAAATGAATTAAAATATCTAAAGCGATATATAGTATGAGACGGATGGAGTATGGTATAATTTATGATTGGTATTTTCATTTTGCTTTGTTCATTTTGCGATATTAAACACTAGTTCAGCACAAAACGCCTTTGACGCTTGACCTTTTCGTTTATTATTTTCTAAGATAAGAATTTAATCTAATATAATAAATTGAGTTTAAATAAATGGGGATCTATGAATTATAAAAACTAACAAAAATAAAATAAAATTTAGTCGACAAGCTCAAATAGGATAATCAAATTTTAGATTGAGCTTTGTTAACACAATATATTAAGCTATTCGATTAGATATTAAGTTTGTTGAATTTTGACATCTTTTAGTAATTATAACTCCTATGTTCAATAATATTGATAACGTGTTTTTATCCGTAAGACTTTAATAGTGATAGTATAAAATGGTTTAATATTGTTAATCAATCAAATATTATTATTAGTATAATTTTTTTTATATTCTAAAAATCAATGACTTATATAAATAGTAGTTTGTGATTTGAAATTTATTTCAACAAATAATTTATTTAAAATTTTATATAATAAGTTTTTATATAAGAACTTATTTAAAATTTTATATAATTTTCTTATATGAGAACTTATGATTATAAGTGTTTAAAATTTAATAGTTGTTACATTTGGATATAATGTTAATAAGTGTACTTATACAATTTTAAAGTGTTTGAGTGTATAATTATTTAAATACTTATAAGATGTTATCTCATTTTAAAAATTAATCAATACAAATTAAATTTTGACTAAAATTAAAATAAAAAGGTTTAAAAATATTTTTAGTACCTATAAAATTTGTTAGTTTTGATTTTAGTTTATGTATAACTTTTTTTTTGTTTTTCATTCTTCTAAAAGTGAAACTATTATTTTTAGTCTCTATATTTATTAAAGGATTAAGTGAATATTCTCGGAGTTACATATGATTATTAGTAATATTATATAGATTCTTGAAATAATTGCTATTGATCTACCTTAAAATAACTGTTAGAGACAAAAAAATAATGACTATTAAATTTTATATATTTATCAAAATTAAAGAAAAATATTTTACAATAATTAAACCAAAATTTATTTATTTTATGAGAACCAAAAATAATGTTTACAAATTTTAGAAAGATAAAAAAGTAAAGAAAAAAATTACAAGAATCAAAGTTAGAACTTCCTAATTTTACATAGATTAAAAACATATTTAAATCAAATAAAAATATAAAAATAATTAAATAATTCTTAAAAAAAGACATTACACATCACAATAATAATAAAAAAAATTATTAGTCATCATTCACCTAGTTTTAGTTTATAAAAAATATTATTTATAAAATATGAAAAATTAATTATATATAATCATAATTAAGAATTAAGAATCATAATTTTTTTAAATTAAACATCAATTTCATATATATATTATAGAATCATGATTAAAAAAATATTATATAAATATTAACAATAAAATTATTTTAGATGTGCTATTTAAAAAAAAATTGTGAGATTTTTTTTAATAGGGGAATGTAAATTTTGGGGGGAAGGGATAAAAAAAAATTGGAGAAGAGAAAAAAAAAAAGAGGAATAAAAGTGTTTGGAGGGAGTGATATATATATAT